CAGATCATTTTTTGAAGTGTATATTTTCTTAGGGCTGAAAAAAGCAAGTAAGTGTATAGATGTGTGTATATGAGTGTGCGTGTATCTCTGAGAATGTAATCATATGAGAAAGAATATTAAATTTATAGTGCATAGTTTGAGCTCTCTATTCATTTCCACAGAAATAGCAAGCAGTACATTTCTTCAAAAAGAAACTTTAATGTTCGAGTTATGTTTAAACTGTATTAGCACAGTAAGCATCTTTTAAGGGGAAAAAAGTGATTATTTCTTCAAACATCTGCTTTTTAAATCTACTTATTATTCAGTTATGTAGTTTTTTTATTGGTTTTCATTTAAAACAGTATGGCTTAGCAGAAGAAGGAAGATTTAAAATGGTGATTGGAAAGTTAAACTTGGAAGTGAGAGGAAAATACAGATTATTGCTACCTTTTTTATTATAAGAAATAATTAATCTCATTTGTAAGCAATATATTTCTTCCAAGAGGTCTTGGTATTCACTGAAGACCAGCAAAAGCAGCTTTGTCCTCACATTTTGCCCAATACAGATGTGCAAGTGAATGTTCTGCTGAGCCATCAAAAGAGAACGTATGTGTCACATTATTATAGGCTTTGTATAAAACATCATAAACAAATCAAAAAGCTCCCAAATGCATAAGCCAGTCTCTGCTTACATAGCTGAAATGACTTTTGACATATGATGAAGAATGTGAAAAGCTGCTGTTTTTTCTTTTCTTCTAAAGCATTTGTGTCCTGCTGTACAGCCTTCCTGAAACTGTTGTTCAGTGGCACCAGTTACAGTTGCTGTCCTATTCCTTCTCTGAGTCTGGTCATTTGCCTCAAACAGAAAGATATAAAACAAAAATACAGCCAGGAGACTGTTAGCATATTATGATAATGGTCTTAAATTTGGTTTAGGGACTGTATAGTCTTTTGTGGCCGATGGTTTGTAGCTGCTAAGGGAGAGATCAGAGTAAATATTCTTGTGGGCTTCCTGACTTAACATCTGTTATGTAGTTACTTCAGGCTTCGGGAAAGTAGACTTAGAGATCCAGCAGTCCTTTAGTGCATTAATGTGCATTAATGTATAGCATGATTTTGGCAGTGTTACAGTATATAAACAGCTTAATCTTCCTTCTGCTAAAAAGAAAAAAATATTGAAGGTATATAGATACATGCTGGCATGTGAGCATTGCTTAAATAATTGTAGAAGCTGTTAGATGTGAAATGAAATTTGTGTGTGGCTATAAAATGTATGGTGGCAGGCAAACAGCTAGAATTTATGTAGATTCATATACATTAAAGTATGGATATGCATCATTTTATGAGACTCCAAAACCAAGTATATACACAAATGTCACAAGAAAATCTTTAACCTACTCATCAGATTGGAAGGGTTCCTAGGTAACTTAAGGAATAAGCTTAAACTAGCTTTATGGCTTATAAAACAATTAGTATTTCCCACATGCACAAATTTTAAATCAAAATACTGGAATATTCTAAAAGAAACCCCCAAATTAAATGGAGCTGTGGTGGTAAGTGCACATCATTAAGTTAAGGAAAACATCTCAAAGAGAATATTAGGTTTAAAGGAATTTTAAATTCATAATACATTCCAGATTTAGGTCATTTGAAAATACAGAGCTTGGACCCATCAGAGAGCTTTGTCTTTCCTCTGGTGTCTTCATCCACTGCCTACCTAAATTAATACATCCATATTTGACATCTAGCTTACAGGTCTTGTAGGTGAGGCTAACATTGCATGCTTTGATCTGAAAAGCTGTAACTTACAGTCCTGCCCTAACTGCCACAGTTAAGATCCACAGAGGTCCAGTTTTCTTGTTCCTAATAAGGAACTGTTTGCAAAATGATCTCCATCAAAGGACTGTACTACAAAATCTGCTATTTCTGGACCCCTCCCAAAAAACCCAACCAACCAAACACTAAAAACAAACCTCTTCCCCAAACCCCTAAAAACCCAAAAACCTGGCTCTACAGGAGGAGGAAGGAAGGATTGATGGAACAATATTAAAGAATATGGTTATTATAGTCAGTACTCTTCTGGGGTGAATATTACAGCAGAGCTCATCTGTGTGCTTGATTATGGCTGGAAAACTTTGTCAGTGCTGTGCAATGCTGTCTTTTTGATCCATAGTTTTATTTAAAATGCTAACATTGTAGCAATATTGCACAACAATCTTTTTTAATGCCATTGCTCTCTTTCCAACACTTGACAGTCTGCTATGCGTGGATTTACCTCATCTTTTTCATTTGTTCTCACACCTATCCTTCTGGATTTTCATGCTGTCTTTGTTTAATGAGAAAAGAAACAGATTGCTAACAGGTCTATCTACATCATAACTGAAGTATTTATGTAAGGGTACAATTCAGGGTGCTGCCTGAATAGATTTGTAAATAGTATGGTCAAATGCTGCTATGATGCCTCTTTCCTACATTTTTTTCTAAGGATCAGCAAAGGGACATTTTAAGTAAGATTACAGCAAGGCAACATTTATTAGAGCAGTAATTTGGGGGGAGATCAGAATGTTAACAAATACTACACAAATTTTTCATTTACAATTTTGTAGATATTTCCATCTCATCACAGGAAAAAGAACTTGAAAATAATTTAAAAAATCATTACTTTGGTATTTTTGAAGTGAAATGCTATTATTGTGTTTAGCAGTTATAACGATTAAAACGTTTTTTTTTTCCCCAGAAAATTGTCTTTAATTTATTTTCAAAATGTAAATATTAATTGATATAGGGATGAAACTTTTTGCTTTGAGTTAAACAAAGAGTTCAAGTTAAAAGGGGCTTTTTTGATCCAGAGGAAATATTTGTATTGTTCACATATTTCAAAAGGGCTTTCTTTCTAATTCAAACATGGGCCAAACTACTGATTGTCCAAACAGTTCTATAAATAAAAATATTGTGATTGAAGTTATGCTTCAGCATAGTTATGAGAGCACAAGTTTATTAAGACAGGAGGAGTAAGCATGATATATTTGGGAAGCGTTTGGAGTGTAATTGGTCTGACCTTCATGTTTCACTGCTTTCCATATGGCCTCAAAGGAGAAACCCCACCTCGTCACTGTTCTGCTCAGTGGTTCCCCCCAAATGGAAACAAAGAAGTGTTAAGTGTCTCATAATATAAGCTGTCAGTGAAATGTTTTAGTGCTTCATATGTGATTTAAAGTCTTTTAATAAATCTCTGGGCTATCGTATATTTGGTGGGCCATTCCAGGCTGTGGATTTTCAAGTCTGTTGGTTTCAACAGTTGTTGTTCAACGGTTGAGCTTAAACTGCAGTTCAGCGAGCAGCAGAGCCTGGTCTCCTATGTTTATGTGTCTGTAAGATGAGCCCTAATGCCTTCAGTCTGAGCATCCTTTACCTTCCCAGTAAAATAGCCACCCTGTTTATCCTCTATGCCCCCACCTACCTTGAATGGTACAGCTGCCTGGGCAAGAAGATAGATTGCTTTTACTGGTGGAAAGCTAAGTGTATTGGCCAGTGGACAGGGACCTCCTTTTTTAAACAGGTGCTGCCCTAGACTCCTTGTGACCCAAGCTATTTAATGAATGGACAAACTGTAAGATCTAAACATCACTCAAATCTTTGCTTTTTAGTGAAGTTAATTTCAAACTGACTTCTGGATTCACAAGCTATTAGAAAAGATGGGCAGGCACAGGGCAACACTGTTGTAGAAGTTTATTTCTGTAAGGAAGTAAGCTAAAAATTGATCATTTGGCATACGCTTAAGACTTTTGTTGTTGATATGTTGATATGTAAGTAGTAATCAGCATTTACAGTACATCAATAATACTTTAATACATTTAAGGTAATTCAAACGATGGAGTCTAAAATAACACTGTACCTATGAAAATACACTTTTAAATTTGGTTGGATTTGGCTTTTTCACATCATGGAGTTTCTGGCATTTATTCCTTTAGATATTTACAAAGAGAGAGACTTTAAACTGTTATCAGTACAGTGAATGATTTGCAGTGAAATCAGATGCAGAGCCTGGCATTCCACTTTATGCCAGGTGCCTGCTTTATCTTAAGTTTGAAATTTATTGCTTTTTATTATGTTTTTTTAAATTATTTTTTAATAGGATAAGTTTAGTTATTGCAAAAGCAAGACTATTCGTAATGGTTTGGTCCAAATATAGTGCAGTCAGATGGTATGCAGGTTTACCTAAAGAGCTTTGACAACCTCTTAATCTTGATATGTAGCACACCATCTATTCTAGTCACGGTTGTTTAAAAAACTTATAATGCATGTCATGCTAAATTGCACACTAGCTGTTTGTTTAGTATGGACGTAATTACACCATAAACTGAATTGCAGTTGAAACTGAAAAACAGACCTGTAGCAATATTTTCAAAGTTTATAGGTCTTTATGCTAAACCACATCTTAGATTTTCCCTGACAACCTATAGTCATCTTACTGCCCATTAACACTCCTTTCTGGATGAGGTAAGGGAAAATGAGCTTCAGGGGCCAGAAATTTACATTCTGATTTGATAATGTTTTTAAGTCTATGTGTAATTTTAAGCAGGGGTCCAGGACATGCTACAGTATTAAGATCAGATATTAGTTTTCTTGCCTGGAGATTTCCTCCTGCTCTGTGAAGTGGAGTTCTGATATCTGTCTCATACTTGAAATTCTTCAGTCCTTGCACTTTCAAAACTTCCATTGACCGATCTCAGTATTGATTGCTTGTGAACTGTAACAATCCCTCTTGCTTGTCTGATGTCTTTAATCTTTTGATCCATCTCCATGACTAATCAATATTTATATTGTCATGGTGGCAATATATCCACATCCAGACTCATGTGTCCGCAAACTTGCAGAGTGTGTTTGTAAGACAAATCGGTATAGAAACAGCTAAACATTTTCCGGGATGGAAGAGTAGGCATTCCAACATATCCTAAACACAAAGACATGTATGATGGAGTTACCTGTTACCTGTTAATGTATTTTCTTTCTACCAACAGGTCCCATAAGCAGCATTTTGGTGAATAAGTATGGTAGCCGGCCTGTGATGATAGCAGGAGGTATCCTGTGTTCATTTGGTATGATTGCTTCCTCTTTCTGCAATAGTGTCTTGGAACTTTATCTATGTATTGGTGTTGTTGGAGGTAAGAGTCCTGTTTAAAAGGGATTATTATATTATATTATACTATATTATATTGTTCTACCAGTGAGCCTTACTGATCAAGAACCCACTGTGCGAGGCATTGTACAAATGCAAACCAAGAAGGTAGCAGGATCAGTTTATTTCAGCTACCTGAACTATCTAATCCTTTAAATTAGCTGGTGTGATATTAAATTATTTCTTAGGATATTTCAGGAACAACTGATGATTTTATTCAATAAATGCTGTATGTATGTACTGTTCCACACTGCACTGTAATTATGGTATAAAAATTGATTGACTCATGACAGCACTTATTACAGTCATTTGTGTAGAATTTCACATTCATTCTTTTAGCTTTCAATCATGTTGCACTTCTCGTGGCAGAGGCTAGCAGAATTCTAGCAAAAATGCAAAAGCTAGTACCAGCTTTCTGTAGGTTTGTACATACATATACTTTCACAGATAAGTGTTAACAACTTTCAGTTCAATAGCTTTCTGCTTAAAATTCTCCAGGGTCAATCCCCAAATAAAATTATCCATATATCATCAAAGGCTAGATATTGCCTAAGGCAATGAACTGAAGTGATCATAAAGCCAGTAAATTAAATAACCTCCTTATCAAAAGTTGTGGGTTTTTCTTTAAACTATCTCCTCAGAATAAGGAAGGCAAGTGAGGTGAAATATTGGCAGGTAATAAATGAATGAGGTGATAATACATGTTCCTATATTCAACCTCATCTTTCTTTATGTTGGGACTAAAGGAGTCCTTCTTTGTTCAGTGATTATTTCTTAAAGCACTTATTTTTCACATCCTAAACTTGGGACTCACTGAAAGAATAAATTGAGGGTCCAGGAATGGGCCTATCCGAGAAGAAAACGTCTATCCTGTGCCATCCAGCAGATGCATAGCTACTTAGACCTTATTGCCTAGATGTCTTAATGCAGAGAGAAGGCCTAGAGGTTCAGCAAAAAAAATGTGGATGGGTGGTCTTCTTCCATGCATGTCCTCTACAACTCTTCCACGTTTAGTAGTGACTTCCATACCTGGGGAAGTGGAGCTGAACGTGCTCCAAAATAATTAGTCATTTTAAGCTCCACTTTTGTACACAAGTTTCATCTTAAATAGGGCTGGAAATAAGAAATGAGGAGATTTATGCATTTAAATACACCCTGCATTCATTGTAGCTGAGGTGACATTTAATAACTTTTGTGAAATGAGCCAAGAGAGAATTGCATTATAGCTTAGTAAATACAAAAATGGTGAGTCAAGGTGCTGATACCATCATTCCTCTGTGATTCCCCTGTCTCTGTCATTGCTGAAACACAACAAGGAGTTTTGGCTTTTATTGCAGTGCTACAGGGGGAAATGGCAGAATGCCACCATGACATAGTCTTGGCATTAACACACAAGGACAGCAATGAAGCTGTATTTCATTTTCTGATGCTAGTTGGTTTCTATCTTCATTGGGAATCACTGGATTAGATACTGGTCATTTTAAAAATAACTTGAAAGAGGTGTGATATGTTTTTTTTAGTGCATGACCTTCAATAATAGTCTTTCATGTGTTCTTTAGGTCTGGGTTTAGCATTCAACTTACAGCCTGCCCTGACCATGATTGGCAAGTATTTCTATAAGAAGCGTCCCATTGCTAATGGACTGGCCATGGCTGGAAGTCCAGTGTTTCTGAGCACATTGGCACCTCTCAATCAATTCCTCTTTAATGCATTTGGCTGGAAAGGAAGCTTTCTCATTCTGGGAGGACTTCTTTTGAACTGCTGTGTGGCTGGGTCACTTATGAGACCTGTTGGACCAAAACCCGTCCCTCCTGCGAAAAAAGATGTTGAAAAAGGCACAGGAGATTCTACCTTGCACAAAAACAACAAGAAGTCTTTTTGGCAAACTATGAATAAGTATCTAGATCTGTCCCTCTTCAAACACAGAGGGTTTCTGATCTATTTGTCAGGAAACGTCATTATGTTTATCGGTTTCTTCGCTCCAATAGTATTCTTGGCTCCTTATGCCAAGCACAAGGGAATTGATGAATATTCTGCTGCTTTTTTGCTATCTATCTTAGCCTTTGTAGACATGTTTGCTAGGCCTTCAATGGGACTCGTAGCAAACTCCAAGTTTATCCGGCCAAAGATTCAGTACTTTTTTAGTTTTGCTGTCTTGTACAATGGCATCTGTCATATCTTGTGCCCTCTGGCAACAAATTACACTGGCTTGGTGATATATGCTGTATTTTTTGGTTTTGCATTTGGAATGGTTAGCAGCGTTCTTTTTGAGACATTGATGGACCTTGTTGGGGCTGCCAGATTTTCCAGTGCAGTTGGACTTGTCACCATTGTGGAGTGTTGCCCTGTGCTCATAGGGCCTCCTCTAGGAGGTAAGAATCTCTTTTATTCCATTTTTTCAGACATTACAGCATAATCTTGCAATTTAGTATTGAATTAATATAAACATTATTCTTAATGTTATTTAATGTTTTCTGTGTGACTAGGAATGTACTGTAGCAGCAGTGCACTGCATCAATTATCTTTGCACTTTACAGCTGCAGATCCATGTGAGAATCTAAAGGCGTACATGGCGTGCATGTGCAATTGATAGATTAAGAGCATATCTCTGCTGGCCCATAAATCCACGTGATACATGTATGTTTTCCTGATAGCATGTAGTGCTAACTTTGCAGCCTTGATTTATGTGTATTCAGCTCCAATTTGCTCTTTGCCAACACAGTTCTTACTCTCTTGAATTGATCGAATCCACTGGTTAGTTTTTGTGAAGATCTCATAGTGACTTGTAGTTTCCCTAACTTGATGGCAGCTAGAGGAGCACCTGCGTAAATTTAAAATAGCAAATTTAGTTTGCCTAAACAGAGAGGGCTGGCATTTCTAGAGAGAAGAAACCAGTAGGGTGGTGCCAGAAAGGACAGGGGCATGCTCAGTAGCCTAGGCAGGGTGCGCACCTGGTGGGATTCCAGCGCAGTGCCATGGAGCATTGCGCCCTGACATGATTTTACACCACAGCCTCACTCGCAGCCAGTCTTTTAGTCTGTTTCTATAGCCAACAGATATGTGTAAGGCAATTCAGAGCGTGAACCATCCTACAATGACTAAAAGATGGAAATGTTGCCAACTTCTCTCTTTTGAGTGTAAGGGGAGCCTAAAGGGAGCCTAAGTAAGTATTTTCTGTTTGCTAGCTTTTTAGTCAGTATTTAGTAATGCTGTTAGTAAGCTTTATAATCTTAAAGTTTCTGCTGATATAACAGGCTAAAGAAATAGATGCTCAAATCTTATTGACAAGCGTCCATTAAATGTGTGTGTGTGTGTGTTGCAGTGTAAGCCCAACAATATGAAAATATAAAGATACTGAGATTACCAGCCTTGTGAACATACACTACACCCACATAAGCAGAGCCACAAAAGTCAGCAAGATTATATGTGCCTAAACCCATTTATAATTATCAAATTATTTTAAGGATTACTGTCGTGGTTTAACCCCAGCCGGCCACTGAGCACCACGCAGCCGCTCACTCACCCCCGCCCCGGGTGGGATGGGGGAGAGAATCAGAAGGGTAAAAGTGAGAAAACTCGTGTGTTGAGATAAAGACAGTTTAATAGGGAAAGCAAAAGCTGCGCGCGCAAGCAAAGCAAAACAAGGAATTCATTCCGTACTTCCCATCGACAGGCAGGTGTTCAGCCATCCCCAGGAAAGCAGGGCTCCATCACGTGTAACGGTTACTTGGGAAGACAAACGCCATCACTCCGAACATCCCCCCCTCCTTCTTCTTTGCCCAGCCTTATATGCTGAGCATGACATCATATGGTATGGAATAGCCCATTGGCCAGCTGGACCAGCCGTCCCGGCCACACTCCCTCTCAGCCCCCCGCGCACCTGGCAGGGCACAGGAAGATGAGAAGTCCTTGACTAGCATAAACATTACTTAGCAACAACTAAAACATCAGTGTGTTATCAACACTATTCTGATACTACATCCAAAACACAGCACTATACCAGTTAATAGGAAGAAAATCAACTCCATCCCAGCTGAAACCAAGACATTCTCACTATTTGTATGAAAATAACATTGTTGAGTGAAGTTTTAAATATGCCAAAACAATTCCACTCACTTCACTACAATAATATTTGTACAAGTAAATGTTTAAGAGTCCTCAAGATGTTCCGTATTTCCCTCGTCTTTTAACATACAAATTCATTTTGGTAATGGTAGAACAAAATATATTCTTGTCACACAGACTCTTCCTATGCCACCTAGTGGGGGGACTGAGCCTGTGGCCGCTGGAGTCCAGCCTTTTCAGTCAGGTTCTGAAATCAATATTAATATTAACTCTAAAGATATTAAATCTAATATTTATGGAGCAACGGCATATACAACTATTTATTTTTCAGTATATTTGCTTTGCAGAAGTTTTGAAAAGCGTGTGTTTGTGCTATAACTTTATGAATAATTGATTTATCTTGTTAAACAGAGGCAACAAAGAGGACGAGCACATGGAAAAGTTAAATTCCAGTTTTGATTTGTTCATATCCTTTAAAATATTATGCTGAAGTAATGTTAATGCAGAATTTCATTTTTAATCATCAGTTTTATAAGACTGTTCATCGATAAAAAACAGTAAATTGTACTATTTACAATAATAGGTGAATTATACAGTTGCAGTGCTATTTGCATTTTTCCTAATACTAGGCTTGTGAAATAAAGAAAAGACTAAAATAATATGATGGCTTGTAAATGTGTATCAGGTGAATAGGCTGGCATTATGGCTTCAACCCAGTAAAAGCATCTAAATACTAAATTGAAGTGCGCAGGTTGTCCTGTGAATTTCAATGATAGCGTAGCAGAGTTCAGAGCTAAATAGTTGGATACATACAAATGTTGATTTGGCAGTTGGGAAAATTTAGAAATAATGGCTCATAAAGTGGAAGAACAGTTATATTTTATTTTTCTTGTCGTGACCAAATTGATCTCAGAGATGTGGATGTAATTTTTAGGTACAGGCTTCAGAGTTCAAAACTCAACAGTTGAACACGATAGCTGAAGGGACGAGCCTTTCTATCTCTTTCACCAGTCACAGGAAAGTAAAAATGAAAAGCAAGCAGTTGATGCACAGTGACAGCAGCCTAAAAAGGCACATACCTCTTCATCCTATTATCAGTATGCAGCCTCCATGAGTGTCAGACAGTCACTCCAAAACAATAGGAAACAAAATTAGGAGGTGAATAAAATAATAAGACAATGAAAGAATGAAAATGAAAGAACTAAAAAACTGTCTGTCGTTATTCATTAAGGTTTACTTACTTTGTTCTTCAATATTTTATCATTGTCAGTGATTCCAATGACAATTGCTAGCTTGACTAATACAGGTTTTGTTAGAATTTGGCTATATATGTTAGACCATTTGAACATGTTGAAAATGCTTTTCTGCTCCAACTTCAAAACCAGGCAATATAAAGGTATTTCTCCTGGGGAAAGATCTGGATTGTATTGGGTATTCTATTCTAAAGACTTTTTTTCTCTTCTTGTCTTTGTATTTCAGGTTGGTTAGTGGATGTTACTGGTGAATATCAGTACATGTATTTTGTCTGCGGAGTGATTGTGATTGTGGCCAGTATCTGGTTGTTCATTGGCAATGCCATTAACTACAGGCTTTTGGCAAAAGAAAAGAAGTTAGAAGATGAGAAGCAGAAAGCACAGAAGAATGCTGACTCAAAGGAAGCAGAACCATTAACAAACAATGAGAATGAAGATGCTGCCAGCAGAGCTGATAAAGCTCTTGAGGATCCTTCAGAAAGAGAAACCAATATTTAATCTGCAATATAGCTCAGAAGGCAACATTTATGACTTCCATTAGAGATATGTCTTCAAGACACAGGCCAGGTTTTGTGGTAACAATGATCAGTCACAATATTGGATGGGAACTGATTTTTGCCCTGTGGCAAGACTCTAAGTTAAATTACTATCTACAGTTTATTTATTTCAGTGATACAAAATTGAGATTACAAAGATAGTGACTCCATGCAAATGAGTCCATCAAACTATGACTCTGGACAATCAAGAGTCGGATAAACCAGACTATAAATAAAGCCTTCCAATGACAAAACAGTTTTGTTTTAAAAGTATCTCTAATGCAAAAGTATCTCTTACTCTTATTTGGGAAGATACTTTGTGTTCATCTTTAGAGTATTGTTAAAGTCTGTTGAAATAATCTGCCCAAACTGTACTTACCACTAATATTAAAAAGAATATAAGCTCAAAGATTTGTTTCAAAAGAGACAGAGTACCTGAATGAAGCACACTGAAACTTTTTCTCTTTTGTAGGCCCACTAGATCAAAAAGATACATTATGTCTGTATAAACAAATATAATATGTAATTAAGGCTAGAAGATGAACAATTGGTGGGCACCATCTCTAAAATACAATAAACAGCTGAATTACAATATATTCCAGTTTCCTCCTGTGATAGCTGACTACATTGTACTTCAACATACACATTTGAACACAAAGTACGTTCAGACCTCGCTAATTCAAACTAAGCTAAAATCTGCCTGTACATAAAAGGATTTAAAACCAAGATTTACATTGCTAACAACAGTGACAATTAGTTTATTCAGTTATGTATTCCTGTATGGCTGAAGGAACTGGATTGGACTGTGAAGCCTTCTTCCTAAAGGGACTAGATTCAGAACCTGCTGATGTTAAAAGGGTACTTACCCTTGGCTTCTGTGGCCTGAATCAGTTTCATGGCAATGACTTCAAAGTAGGTGCTTGGGTTTTTTGGCAAGTCTTTAGTTGTTTCATGGTCTACTGAGAGGAGGTTTAAGGTCTAACTTCAGGTCTTTGCAGACAGGTAACTTTATACCTGTTCTCACCTCCCTTTCCCATGTAGTTAGTAAAAAGCTACTTCTTTTTTTGTAATGCCAGTTCGAGCAAAAATGCTGCAAGGCACATTGACAGTGCCAGTCTGGAAGCTTTGTATTGACATACCATTTTTGTGCAAGGTATTTGGTCTTGTGTCTACAATTTCACACAGAAGCTTATATCAATTAAAATGTACACAATCGTTTCTCTTCCTTTAGGCAAAAGTAAGCATAAGTCTATGATTTTACTTTAGAGAAATTAGCATTACACTTGAAAGCTAAAAGTGCAAGCTTCTGAAGATATTAAGTGAAAATATTTCTGTTCTATTTGTAGGGGAGGAAAGATGCTATTCGTTTTGGAGAGATGCATATAAATGCCTCAGAAATTGTGAAAATTAAGGGTCTGATTCATAAAACATTTGTGCACTGTTTATGCAGAATACACATATATTCAATTCAGGGAAAAGAATATAATTCATTTTAGCCCTCTTTTAAATCTCAAAAAGTTGCAAATATATTGGACAGACAGCTAGCTGTGTCAAACATACTTTGAAGCGCCAATAACAAAAGAAAAAAATTAATAGTAAAATCTAGCAAATATGTGAGTGCTTTTAAGAAAGCGTAGTGTTCAATATTATTATTTTCATTCTTCTAAAAATTTTGGTAGTGCTTCCTTCTGTTTTGCTAGGTTATCATCTTATATACTATGAACTTCCACAGCAGTGCTGAACTTTTTCATTATCTCTGCACCATTTTGGGGGAGAGGCATCATGAATCTACTTGCAGCATGGTACAGAAATTAATTCCTACTTTTTACCTAATTATATGCAGGAAAACCAAACATCTTCTACAAGTCCTGTAATTTTATAGGCACATCAGCAACAAAATATGTGCATTTCAGAGTTTTGGGAGAAAACATGGGTTACATGCTCAGATTTGAGCAGTGAACTGTGTAAAGGAGAATGATTTAATCCCAGTAAAATTACAATTCCTCTGCCAGCCCCCAGCTTCAGAGAAGAAATAAATACATTGCACCTCCTTCCAAACTGTAGCCCTGTGAGCACCCCAAGAGGTAAAAGTGTTGCTCTGTTTTTGGCTATACAAACATGCAGGGTGAATTCCAGGATCTGTGAAGGCCCTATGTGCCCAGAGCCAGAAAGTGATGAGGAGTTTCATAGACACTAAGCTTTCATACAGTGAGGAATATCAGTTATAAATACTGGATTGTGAAAGATGAACTGAAATTTTAGCTAAAGAGTAGTCATGAGGAACATCACTCTGCTCTTGACAGCAAGTGGTAGAAAGGCAGAGATTATTTGAAAAGAGATGAATATAGAGGCTGAACCAAAATGACTGAGGCAAAATTCTAGGTGCTTATTATCTCTTTGTAAAAAACAGCGTGATTAAGAATATAGGGTAGAAGATAACAAGTGTCAAGTTTTGACTTAAGTCTGTTAAAAGTTGCTGTGAGTAAATAAGGGACTCAGAAGAAAGATGATAAAAAAAGGCTGTCAGGAAACATGCAGGCAATTTACCTGTTCTGTGCAGGACCACAGAATACGATGCAACATGGCATAGGAAATAAAGGAAAAACAAGGTTCCTCGAGCCATAGACACACCTGACCACCAGTAACAAAAATTATGTTGCTATCTCAGAGGAAATAAAAATTTATATAAACACAACCCTCTGCAGAGCTACTACTTTTTCATCTCTGGTTAATTATGTTAAAAAATAATAGAACGAAAGAAAGAGCTGCTTTACCACCACTCACCAATGCGCAATTTTTACTCCCACAGGGCAAAATGATGTAGCAGGCAACTAGAGGTATGAAGTACCTCTAGCATGAACTGAGTCAAGTGAAACATTTCCTTACACCCCTTTCATTACTTTTGCTAATAATACTAGCAACAAAATAAAAAAAACATCAGAATACTCTTGATATTACTGAATATTAAGGAAGTTAAAATCTAGAGATGAATGAAGAAAATTGGAACCATATCTATGCAAAAACTGCCTGGAGTTAAACAACCGTGTCTTCCAAATAATACGTACTAAAGGGGCAATTGCCTTGTATATCTAGCTCTTATCTCTATAAGTAATAATAATAATAAATTGCCTTGAATCAATTCTATACTGAGCAGCAAAGTAGCAAATTGAGTATAACTTTCCTTCAAACCCCTGAATATCACTCTTACTTGGACTGAGCTGTAATTTGTACTGCAAATCATTTCATCGTTACATTTCTGCTTTCAGGGTAAGACCTGGGTATATACCAACTCTCTAAATCCCCCTGGTTTCTTTCAATTACCTTGCCCCCAGTCTGCACCACTGCAGGATCAGGACTAAGAGATGTCCCTGCCCAATAATCAAGAAATGTACTCTCAAACTTCAAAACATACTAGATGCATCTATTATGCACTATGGAGTCTGTAATCTCTGTCAGTCAGTGCAAGCTCTTAATTGCTCTTAACCTCATTCATACTCATGTATACTTCATCCTCTTCATTCTTCTGCCCCAATATCACTGAGCCTAATTATCACCTTGCTCTTGTTTGATCAATGACGAAAAATAATGCCAAAATTTTAAAATTAGTAGGAAAGGGGATAACATCAATAATTTTTTTCCTATTTAATATCAAGGTTAAATTTCAAGTAGTTTCAGAGTAGACACCCAGATACTTTTATCTTTTTAGGGCTTTTTGACATCGTACTTTCTCGTAGCTGGAGGGTTCTTCTGTATTGCTCTTTCCAACTCCAGAGAAAGACTTCTCACTAAGAATTCTCAGTACTTTTCAAAAACATATCAAAATTTCACCCCTCCCACTTCTCACCGCTGAACTGTGGTTGCAAATGTTGTCAGTTCTGTATTTCCATTAAGTTCACAAAAGCATCTTTTTATATGAAATCCTGTAGCATAAGTAGTGAGACTACAATCCTTTTATTTCAGGAGTGTGATTTGTGAACTGTTTTGACAGAGTTAGGGAAAGTCTTATTTTATCTTCAAATAGATTTTTTTTTTAATGATGCTGTCCTTATGAGTGGAAGTTCAACTTTACTTACAGCTGAAGTGAATGGCAGGAATTTCACTGACATCATGATTCAAAATTCACATGAATTTTAATGCTCTTTATGCATATCAGTGCATATCATTTGGCAGTGTGTACATAATTGTCCTTCCCAGAGAACTCTCATTCCTCTTGGAGGTTCCCCCCTCCCCCTTCCCCCCCACCCTGTTCTCCATTTTGATGTAACACAAAGAATTTGGGCCTGGCATTTAGTGACTTTTCTTAACTGCTTTCTTGTCATTTTCTTTTCTCAAATGCCTAAGCAACTTTCACTTGCTGCTTTCAGGTCTAGATGGTTGTGAGTATTAGTGGGGAGGTATTATTCAGATACATAATAAGCTACAGATACCACATACAGCCAGGATTTCAATAAACAAAGCCAGTGACCACTTTTATAGATGAACATGCTGTAACTGGTACTGACAAATTTGCCTATAACAAAATCGAATCGAGGCAACTTTTGTTAGTTTCTCTATAGATGACTATTTTTCTACTCACAGAGAGGAATATAAAGGGAATTTTTAAATAATTATTTTCCGAGATGACATATCAATTTTAACAAGGCTCTCTGGATTTTTTGGGGGATGGGTGCTTTTCTGATGTTTATGCATATATATATATAGAAAGTGTTTGCATGTATTATCACCTTTTTGATCACAATTTGCATAAGCATTGCTATGTAATTTCAAGATAATTTGCATGTTGTTGTTTTGCAGTTCAAATTTTTCTCGTCATCTACCTCTCAATTGAAGTTTGGAGACTTGCATGACCCTGGAGGAACACAGTTAACAAAAAGCATAATGGTAAAACCTGTACAGACTATTAGAATGTCTCCCAAATATTTGAAGCTACTTACAGTTCTATTTTTAAGGCAGTGCATATTTATGACCAAATTCTTGTGTCAATTGGCATAGCCTTATTAAATCTAAAGATTTAATCCATGCTGGTGTAGTTTTTACATCACTGAACTGGTATAAAAAATCAACGTGTCATTTAGATATCTAAAGTCCTTTCTGTGAGATGCTGGCCCTCCTTTTTTTTTGGTTTTCTTTCCGTTTCTGAGTTAGTGGAAGTAATTAAATGGAAACATTACATAGTTAATACATCCAAACTTTGCATTTTGCATCTCTGGGGGGAAAAAAAAAAAAGTTTCTTTTGTTTAGAAATAATACAGAATTTTAGCTTGCCCTCCCTTTTATGGGCCAGTTGAGGGAGATGGTCACAAAATATTGGACTGGGGC